ATAAGTTTGTTAATGAAGAAGCATACTTCCGTTTGCAAGATGAGTAATTTGGAGTCAAAGGAAATACGATGTTTTGACTAACAGTTTCATCTCAAACTGTTTAGTTAGTATGAAATTTACACGCTTGCTCAATGCTAGTATTCCAATATAGTTCAAATCATTGACATAAACAGCTAGGATCACAGATTATTTATCTTCCTTCAAAACAAAGATGCAAGGTAAAGCATGATGATTTTGTAGGCCATTAAAAATCAAATAGGACTTCAAGTGATGATACAATGCTATCCGGCTTGTTTTAGGCCACAGAGTGCCTTTCGGATTTGTAGCCCGTGAAAATGTCATGGTAGGATTGATGGCAAGCTTGACACAAACTGTGATGGAGGTTTGATATGTAGATTTGTGTCTAAATCGCCATAAAAATAGGCAGTGACAACATCTAGGAGACGTGTTTCAAGTGAAAGTTGGACTGCTAGGCTTAAGAGATAGCGGAATGAAGTACTATTCATGACATAAGAATATGTTTGGTCGAAATCAATTCCTGGTTTCTGAGTATATCCTTATACAACTAGACGTACCTTGTAACGAATTACATTTCTGTGTTCGTCACGTTTTCCAGTGAATATAAGTTTGTAACCTGAGTCTGTAACAAATGACCTAAGTACTGAAAGCTTGCAAAGGGATTGGTACTCGACATGTAATGCTTTTTTCCACTATGGCCAATCTGGTATCTTCATAGCTTGATCTAAAGTAGTAGGGTCAAAGTCAGAAATAGTAAGACTGATTACAAATGACTCAGGATTTGACCAAAGATCTGATGGTTCCTTGGGTTGTTCAACTAGGAGTGTTGCTCGTGTATTACGTTTCTTTGGTTTCAAAGCGGGCACAGGGTTTTTCTGATCCAGATAGTGAGTTTTGGAGTATTCTAGATTTGGACTAAACTCCGTCAGGGAGCTTTCTGGTTAGGTTCTGCAAGTCTAGAAGTTTTCTAACCTCAGAATCTGTAACTGCTATTCGTGGATCTGAGTTTAAGGTGAGAGTCTCTTGGATTCTAGAGTTAAGTTCTATATATTTGAAGTATTTAGTGCCGTAAAAACAAGATTATATGAATTTGCAGTTTTGAATTCTAGCTTTGTAATCATCATCTATATCAGGTAACTTGCATCAAACAATACTCGGGGAGTCAAATCCAAGATATATACCTTTGATTCTATGAAATTTCATGGATTTTATCATCGGATCTGCGACAGTATCCAAATCTCACAACCAAAGGTGCGGAGATGTGCTATATGCAAGACTCGGGTGTATGCTAATTCTAATGGAGTCTGAGTTTGGAGTAAGGTTGGTCTAAGACGTTAAAAACGGCAGCGTGAAGTACAACATGACCGCAATAAGAAGGTGGGAGTTTAGCATGAAAAAGGAGGGATTGGACTATGAGCTGAATTTTCTTGATAAAAGTTTTGGTTATATCATTCTAACTATGCTCGTAAGGAGCAGAAAAAGTAAGTTCTATCCTTGTCGTTGCGCAATAGTCCTCAAATGCCTAAGATTTAAATTTAAGGGCGTTGTACATTCTAAGGAATCAAACTAGATGGTTGGGGTAATCGTTTCTAAATTTTAATAGCATCGTTAAGGTCTTGGAAAACACCATGTTTCTATTGATAAGAAGAGAAATCTTAGCATGACGTCCGGATGCACCAACAAGGACAAACAATATTTGAATTGACCTTATGTTGGACTGATTGGGCCACATCAATCACCTTGAAGACGTTGCAATGGTGCGGACATCTACTCCCGTAGTTTTCAAGTCGAAGGTTGTTTGATCAATTTTCTTTGAATGCATGGTGGATATTCTTGAGCATGCTCCACGTCGCTAGTGCACATCTCGTGGCCCGTTAAGAGTGGTATCATACTCCTCATCATAGTAGTTCCCGGGTGCTCTTGTTAGCTATGCCACAAATCCGCTCTGGCGTTTGTTGTCATGAGGGATGTGGAGTCACCTTTACAAGGTAGGCTCGGTTGCGTAGTGCAAGCGGTGGCATCTTCCTTACCTGGTTGGGTAGGACTAGCGCCCAAAATGGGCCGCACATAGGCAAGTTGCCTATTCCTTGCATCTGTATGGGTGGGATTACTCCCGAAATTAAAATTTTGTATAGGCTTGTTATTTAGGCTTTAGCGGTGGCGAAGATTGTTGTCCCACACTTGAGTTGTAGTGTCTCTTTACCGCACTCCACTGCCGTGGAGGCGTGAATATGGTTGTCCCGTAAATCCCGGTAGCTGATAAGACTACGGTGGGCGCCAAGGGTGTACATTGCCCGTTCGCAGGTGAGGAGGGCCACTCCAAGCAAGACTATTGTTGCACGGCCCTCACAGAATATCAAATTTTGCATTCTTGCGATTGTGAGTATGCCACAAGTTTGCCACGGCTCGTTTTGAGTTTGGAACTCAAAATATGTCTGGTCTTTGAAAACCGAAACGGTGGAGGCACTATCAAGGAGCGCGATATTGTTCTTGTTGATAGTATCATGATGCGTTATCATATTTTTTTCAGGATCTAACTCCGTAAATGTGAGAGACGAAGCATATACAATATGAGACTCTCGTCGTGCAATTCTCAAGTATTGAAGTTCTTGATACATGTCACATATGTACTTGCTAGCGTGACAATTGCGTGCCCGATGACCAAGTTTATCACACTTATGACAATTACTCTTGATCTCAAGAGACAACGGTGATTGAGACTATTATTGTGATAGAGACTAAAATCTGAGACTAAGACTGAGAAGGTTTGTTGGCATACTGCTGATACTTGTTGGAAGTATTATGATTCCAATTTCCTCGTGGCGTGCGTTTTGATGCAGTAGTAACATAAGATTTGTTGTTTGTACCTCCAAATTTTGAAGTTGAGCTGATCTTGATGTGCTTTGAGGCCTCAGTATTGTGAAATTCTCTTGCAAGTCGAGTCTCGGCTGTCTTCAGAAAGAATTGTTGTTGCTTTTCAACAATCATCAAGTATTGCGTAAGATTAACATGCTTGATGAATTTTATATTGCGATATTATCGCGATAAGATGACACATGCGGGAGGAAAGATTGAAAGTGTCTTATCTATCATATCGACGTTGGTGATGCTCTGGCCACGGATGCGGAGCTGGGCAACGATACGGTGCAGTTTTGAATTAGAACTATGAAAATTCAAGAAGTTAATGATTCTGAAACTCAACCAATCACTCCGGACTTGTGGTAGGATGATCGTTTCTTCATGCGGGTAGTGTGATTTGAGCGCCGCCCATAGAATTGCCGGGTCCTTTTTGTATATAGACTGCATCCGTAACGACGGATTGAAGTGTTTGCCACCTCTGCGCCGGCTCAATCTCCTTCTCCAAGTTCGATTGCAGTGTGTAGATCAGTTCTTCGGCAAAGAGATACGTCCTCACGTTGAAGTTCCAATCTAAAAAATTTGTAACATCGGATGTTAAAGGTTTGAAGTAGAGCAAAGTGATTTAAGTGTACTTGGATTGTGCTTCTGTCGTTATAGTTAATCTAACTATCTACTCTATGAACAAGAAGACCCCTTTGTACACAAGACTCTTTGGTACTTGTGTACAAAAGAATCGCCAAAGGTACGAGTGGGAAAGAGAGATGAGATGGAGACGAATCGATGAGACTATGGAAAGGGAAGGATAGATGGAGAGAACGACGTTTCAAAGAGTGCCAGAGAGCTATAAGAAGAAAGAAGCATGACAACAACAAATCTACAGGTCCGCCATGACAAACTAGAGTAATAAGCCTAGCTTTCAACTTCAAGCTTCACCATAAACTCTGCGGAACTTCCATGTGATCAGCAAGACACCCTATGTTTAGTGGAACAATAGCAACTGCAGCGAGGATGGAGCTCTTAGTCCGTCAAAATCTGAGTCACTGCCAAACACTCCAGAACGAGCTCACACGCCAACAAAGAAACCTATCACCGAGCTCCAGACCAAGAACACAAAGTAGTTTACGATCTTTTAGCCCTTCTTCACGCGCAACAGTGTTCTCTTCTCAAAGCACTTGGAAGAATGTCAAGTGCAAACTGAAAACCGACATGAACAAACGTGCTGAGAACGTGTTGCGAGAAGGAAACTAAAAGAACAAAATACTGAGACAAATGAAACAATGAACAAGCTTGCTTCGGATCTCTATGTGAACATACTCTCAAAGTATCATATATTAATGAGTTAGGAGGGTGTTACAATCCAATAATTATATGTGAGTATTAGGGTTAGTGTAAACTCTCTTTGATACTATATTAATAGAGATTGTTGGTTAGACCTCTTGACAGTTATTAGGGTTGGGTAAACCTTCTCTATTAATAGAGATAATAGTTCGGCTATCTCAACAGTTGTATTAGGCGAAGTATATACGGTCGCGTAAAGTACCTAAACTATCTAGCGATTAGACGACTAATTAAGTTGATTGCGATTTGGTGATTACATGTTGCAACCAATGGGAAGTGAACACTTATGCAAAATTCACGGATTTTTAATTTATTTTTTCTATATTAATGTAATTTATTAAAAAAAAATTTAGCAGACTAAAGTAACCTTAAAATTTTTAAAATTAAAATTCGTTTAAATTAACTTTTAAGTAGATTAAATTTATTTTTTTAAGGAGACTAAAATAATCTAAACTAACGTTTTTGAGTAACTTAAATTAAATTTTTTGAGTAGACTAAATTGACCATATTTAGACGAATGATATTATAACCATGCCTGGTTATGAGCCATGGCAAAGAATATGTGCTAAAGATGGAGGGAAGACAACTAGAGGGTCAGGAATCAGGATGGGAGCTCTTCGATGCCGCCGAGTGGAGAAATGGGAAACATAGTCTTGCTATTCCTCATTGCCACAACGTCGTAACCAGGTGACCTTTCATCAGCTGCAAACGTGTGTCAAGTTCCACTGTATGTTTTCGTAAAATACTTTGTACTTTGACATACTTCTCTGTTTCAGAAAGAAACCAGGCGGCGTGTTCTATTCCCGCCAAAATTTGCATGTGTGACACTCAAGAGTAAGAGGTTCGGACAGAGTGCGCTGTAGGTCGGAGAATGACCCTCTGCCCGTTTGGTCTCTGGAGATGCACAGCGCGAGTGAATGCAGCTAGGAGTGAATTTTGGCGATGACTCTTCGTTTGCTGGAAAGTGTCTGAGAGGTTTACGTCGAGGACTTTGACGAAGGTCGTTGGATTTTGATGGCTGCCCGGTCTAGCTCGGACGCGGAGTCTGCGCTATTCTCGGGCGCGGAGGTGCTTTTACCCTTTATGTTGTGATACTTGTACTCTTCCGCCCGATCATACTATGGTGTATAATCTGTATGTTGAATTCTCCGCGACTGGTTGTCGATGCGCTCTTAAAAATTGCGCAACTTATATTCCGAGATTGCTGAAGTTCGTTACTTTTGAATAGGTGGAGTTTTTGGCGGAGGATGACACGGTTGTCATGGTTCCTACTCTACGAATGGACACCCTGCACTTGATTTGTGTAAGCTTCCGACCAGGTCCCTCTGAGTTCAGACGTTTTGAGCGATTTTCCTGCCTCATCCGACATGCCCATTGCCTTGCTAAATCTTGTGATCGGGTAAGATTCCAATGCATTCGTAACCAATTGATGTTGAAAACGAAGGTGAAAACGGGTGTTCACCTTAGATGGAAATCCATTCTGATGATGTGGCTGTATATTGTTGAACGAAGTTGAGGCTTTGGGCAAAACCTTAAAACCTTTCCGTGAGATGAGTTACTGACGTCACATTCGACCATCTCTTCGAAAGCGATGCCCAGTACCTTGTAACAATTTCTCTTCTCTCTGTTCCATATTGCAGTCGTCCTTTCCTTCATTCCGCAGGCTGTCAGCTGCTACCCGCCAGCTTGACGAGAGTCTGTGCGTAATGTTAAGCATTCACACTGAGTGAAACTGCTGTCTAGTTCATGCGTTGTAGGCAAAATTGTCGTACCTTGGCCTTCATTTATTGACTCCAGCTGTTATGCATTTCAAGTAGAACTTCACACCTGAAGACACGGATTGGTCCCTTTCATCCGGCTTCGAGGCGTGAATGCAAATCAGTTGGTGATTTTAATGGTTTTTTTACACTTTCGACCTAGCAGTGCTGGAATCTCCGAAATGACAGACACACTGTCGTCGTTTGAATTTGTGAATCTACTATAAAGTTACGCAAACACTGAGATTCACGATTTTTTCTTCACTTTTCCATCGCTTAGCTGCTACCTGTAGAGCACGGAATGCAGCTGGATTATCATGCTTCCATGCTGGGAACTATTTTCCTGCCACAATTTAATTGAATTCTTGTTTCAAATTACACCGTGCTTTACACAGAACGGGCGGGGTGGACATGGTGTCATCGATGTTTGTAATGAGTACCTTTGGTTGTCAAGGCACGTAAGTTGTTTGTGCTGAAATTTATTCTTCTCCTGTAGATGACGCTTCTTAGCTGACCAGTGCCTTGGCCAGGACAGGGAGATTTTGGTCCCTTTATGCCTCAGGTGCCTACGAGTGTGCCCCTATGGCTCGGAATTGCTATGAAGAAACGAGGAAAGTGCCGGTTACGGGCTCCAGAGTGGATGACAGTGGGTAAGCTTCCTTTTTGTACAACGTTTGATCTGGTTTCGAGTCTCTTCTCCTCGAGAGGATTACGAAGTGATTGCTGATGCATCGACTCTCACACTTGTACTGCTGGCAGAAAACCTCACTCAGGTTTTGGAGCTGGAAAGAGATTCTCCGCAGGAATTTCAGCCTTTGCCCTTTCACTACGTGGAGGTTTCTAGGCTTCTCATGGACAAGTAAGGACGTCCATCTACTTACTCTTTTACTTCTCTTCTCTCTCAACTTCAAACGCCAGGTTGTAATTGTGTAATTGTTGAGATTCTTGCATGTGTTCTTCATGCATGAAGTTGTGTTGACTTTACCCTCAGATTCAATTTCTCCTTCCATGTCGATCATTTCTGATGCAAGTATCAGGGCTTTCAACTATTCGTCAGCGCCAGAGACGACTTAGTCGATGTTTACATGGTAGGTTCACAGCAAAGTTCCTTTTCTTGCATACCGTGCTCCATTTGCAGTATCTATCGTGCTCCATTTGCTGGTTGACCATCTCAAGATTCTTCCACTCACTCATGACGTTGATCTCATCGTGCGAAATCTGAACTTTTGTTAATCTTAGCGGAAAAAGAAAAGCTTCTAACATATAAACCTGCACCTGTGTTCTGAATATTCGACTCCGCACCGCCAGGTACAAACACTGATCGAGGACATCCGAAATGTTAGGTTTCATAAAGTGCAAAGCGGCTTACAAAACCTTTCAGGAAAGACACATGCTGTCAAGGTTAAGTACCAACCTCTTGTAGATTTAACAGCACTATACCGTTTTTTCGGTCCATCTTTCATCAAACGCCCGAGTGCCTTGGTATGTCATGTTGGATAAACATTTGATCGGTATGCCACAGCTAAAAAATTTGGCAGCCATGGAGGTGAACCTTATACGCCCGTTCTTCGTCAAAGCGCTCGAGAAGTTTTACATTCACGACGATGAGGAGCTAATTAAACCAACTCAGTCGGAGGCAGACATACAACTAGCATCAGTTGATCGGCTTCCTAGAGTAAGTTTCTGTGCCCTGATCGGACCTTACCTCCGTCCACGCCAAAAATTTACGTTTTTTCCGTACATGGTTCTGATCCGGCGAAATATTGAAGCTTGTACCTAGAGTACCGGTAGGTAGAGAGTAGTCAGGAAATCGACGACATTGTTGTTTCCATTATCTGATCTCACTGGAACTCGAAAGTTGCTCCTGCTATCTGGCCTACAGTACTGTGCAAGCTTGACATGTGTAATGCCTCCGTAAACCTGCTCATTCTCAACTAAATGTAGTCTACGGTGTTCGTAGGTAGTAGCTGGCATGCTTTGTATCGTTAGATTGTCGCTGCTTCTCAGTGCATTTATAGAACTATCCGCTTTGACTTCATCCATGTTCCTATGGATGTCGATAGTGATTCAAACATAAGCCTGAAGTGAGACTCCTGTTTAACAATCTAATTGAAATTTGCCATGTGTCAATGCAGCGAGTCCTTAGACCACGATGAGCGTCCTGAAGCTGACTGCAGCAAACCAACTGTGGAGAAAGGACGACACTTGCGTGACACACTTCTAAAGCTGGTCGAATTACAGAAGTAAGGGTGAACGCGTAGCCCCGTTACCCACGATCATGCCGCCTCGGTTTAAATACGTAGTTATTGGATTGGCCTTGCCTTAGAGACTCACTTAGCAACCACCACCCAGCAGGCGGTACAGTTCGCAGTACAGTTTATCTGTCAGCATGCATCAGTACCCTTCTGCAACATAGACCATCCGACATCCTTGCAGAATTCTACTCCCTTCAGGAGTGTAGAGAAATAAGGATTCGAAGCACAGTAGTTCTCGCGACCTTGCCAGTGGCAGACTTGTTGGGATGTCCAATTTGCAATTATGCATGGTTAAGCGAGTGGTAGAAATGAACATTGCTTCCTTTCAATTGAAGTCAATTCACCGGCGACAACTATTTCTTTGTAAATATAACAAATGTCGGAGGGCAGGCGCACATGTCTGTATACTTGGACAATTACTTCACATTTCTCACAACGACGTAGTGAAGGGAGCCATAATATGTTTACAAACCATATGAGCAAGAGCATATGTTGATCAACAACAGATTGATCTTGATATACGCCTTTTTATACTGTCTCACTTGTGTCTATGTTGCAGAAGGTTGATAGTCATCTATCTGATAGTCAAGGACCCCATGCAACATTCTGATATGATGGATATTTATAAAAACGTGTTATTCCAAAATGTGACTGCACGTCGATGACAGTTTATCAATATTTTCGGCATCAACATCATGAGAGATTCTCATTAGTCCCAAAGACTTTTATATTGGTCTTCATATTAAGTGCTTATACCGTCAAGAGTAATATTAGGAGATGAGAATTGAACTACATCTATAATTAATAATAGAGTCCCTTGACATGTAAAAGTCTCAGAATTGAAGTGTTTAAAGTTTTATTTCATAGCTTTTTGATGGATAGTAGTATATATACATATATACTACTAAGAGTAAAGACAATTTGAAAACGATTGGACGGGTTTCACCGAAAACCTGGAGAAAATCTTGACTATGCATATTTGTAGTTCATCGAACCATTTAATTAATAATCACATGCTTTCTAATGTGTAAATGTAAAGAGTATTTTGATGTTTACTGTGAGAGAAGGGACATCTTATGCAAGCATGGGTAAATTAGGCGATTGGAGTCCGTGTCTTCTCAATCAACAAAAGATACGTCGTCCTACGAGATTATGGTACTCGTTGTGGAGCACATCTGAAGATTGTTTGCTACCAGGATAATCGATATTGTGCTACATTACACTGATAGATTTCATCTTACTCTATCAGACTATGTTTGCTAGTATTTGTTCCAGTTACGCGAAAGATAATGATGCTTAGTATAGTCTCAGAGTTGCACATCATGATCCCAAGACTTCGAAGGTGAACAATCTTCAATGCATTGTCTTTGGTCGGAAAGAGAAGGTTGAAGCAAAGTGAAAGCCAGAGACTACTGTTCAAAGATGTACTTTCTCGTTTCATTTTGTTACGATAAAATTGTGTACAATGTTGGTTTCCATCGTCTCACTAAATGGGCACTATACGATTTATTAAAACACTCAACGCGATCACTATTTTTCCGAAGTTCAAGTCATGTTCAAGAATTCAATCAAATCACATATCTCCTTATCATCATTAACTATGCAGCGATAGACTGTTCATGATTTCGAGTTAAAACTTTGTTGATTATATTGTGGACGACATGATATTCGACACCGAAGACAAATATTACAAGCAAGCACCATGGAATACGCCTTTATTTCATAAAAGGCGTTGGAGTGGCAAGTGCGGTCGTTGCTAAATCGATTGAAAAGCTATAAACAACCACCCACATCATTATCAACCACCGTTTGTTATGAAGCTTTTTATATCCAGTGTCCAAAAAATGCTGGGCGATATGTCAGTCTGGATGGACCTAGTAGTTAACGAAGCCGATGTGATTATTGCTATGAGATGTCGGCCTTGTTTATCTCACGGCTTGTCATCAAACTGGCTCTATCTATTTTCGTCACGATTGAAAATAGTTTCCTTGCTGATTATCACATGAATCAATTAAACTCTTTGCTCTTGAATTTGTCCTCAAGATTCGCGAAGGATTGTTTCACTGTTATTCAGCTACTCAAATCGACGTCATTGTCAACGAGGATGTTCACTCTTACTGAAGCAAGCCAATCTAAAAGCAGTGTATCGACTCGCTTTCCAACAGATCACGTTTCATGGCTTGTCGCAATTTACACGCTTCTCATTTTCTCAATTTGGTGAAACTTGTGTTATTATTGCTATACTCTTTACTGCAACAGTCAAGGTTGAGTTTGACTTCTCGAACTTTGTTGGAAAATATGAGGCTTACAATAAACATTGTCGGAATGTGGAATGGGAGGGATCTTGCAACCCAAGCAATGCCTCTTTGTTAAACAGCTTTCACATTTTGCACACTACTGCTCTGTAAATTACTCACTACGACTACGGACTAAACTAGCGACAAGATGGACTGAATCAAATTGATTTAAATAATCAGGGCGGCGTTCTACTTTACACAAGTTCGATCATATTGAATCAAATTTACTTATGACATATCATCTATGTTTTCTATTTTGTCTAATTCAGCTTTTTTAGATAGAAGAAACAAGTTTTCATCTTTCAAGTATAAAGCTTATGAATATCTCGTATGGAATACTAAAATATTAGAAGTGTTTGGATAGAAATGATGAGTTCATGTTTTTGCAGACTAAACAAGTAGGATAACTAATCAAATTCAAATAGTAGAACATAAATCATAACATTGAGGGAGTAAGATTGTGATTTATTATCATATTCTTTCATTCAAAAATTATTAGCTGTAAAAATATTATCACTCCATATATTTGATTAAAAATGACTGACCAATTTTGAAAATACTTGAAATATGTGTTTTTTAACATTAATATTTTTCATGAATGAAAAAATGTTAAAAAATTTAGAGTTATATTATTTTGAATATCGACAAGTTAAAGTTTAGAAGAGTTAAATATCTACATCCATAATCATCTTGATGTATTTCAAACTTAATATATATACAAAAGGTGAAAGAATATGATTTTGTACACAAGATCACAGCAAAATAAGTTTATTTTTTTTTTCATTATATATATATGTGTAACAATCACATATACTAATAATAATTTATTTGTTTGATTTTTACATGAATAATTATATTTTATCTTTAATTTACTGTGAAATTTTTTTAATACATTGAAATAATATGTTTATAATTTTGGTCTAAATGTGGTAAATTTTATGAAAGTGGAAATTTTTTTGAAGTTTTGAAAATATGGCAAATCCACCAACGTGAAGAATTTTACTTCACGATAATTTTCATATTTTTAAGTTATTATTAAATATAATAATATTCATAATAATCTTATTTCTTTGAAATCCAAGGTCGTGATTTTAATTCACAATCTATAAGTTTAAAAAAAAATATAAGTTTAATACAAAAGATTAATGTATGATCGTAATTAGTTTCTTGAGATCAAAGAATATAGACTTGAGAGTAAATTACACTTGCAACACATGTTTTGTAGTTTAACAATTGAATTGAAAATATACAGCTTGTCAGGAGATACTGATTGCAACGTAAGTGGAATGAGCATAATTGCAAAATTTTTAATTTTGGTTGGATGTTTTATTTTATGATATAATTAATATTATTAAATAAAATACTATTATTACATTGATATTTTAGATTTGATATTCAAAGCGCATATTTAAAATAATAATGTTAAATGATATATAAATTCTATAGAATCTTGAATTCTTGATTTGCAAATTATAATTAAATAAATGCACTGCTATTTCAATTAAATTTGAGAATGTTTTCTCTAATTTTGATAATTACATGGATTTTTTTCTTGAAATTATTATTACATGTATCATTATTGAATTTAAAATGTCTAATCTTTCAATTGCATAAATATCATAAGCATTTTAAGAATTTTTTTCTTGAAAAATATGCAAGTCGGTAACACTGACTAAAAGAATTTTGGATCTATCTGATGTACGTTCGAGACACTTCATTTGATTTCTAACTACTTCAAAATTTTCATTATTTCGAAAAAGATGAAATAGTATGAATAAATCTTTTTCCTTGTACCATTATATATTCAAAGTAATAAAAGTTTCAACTGACTCTAATCATTCATCCCAAATTACAATTGATTTGTCACTCATGTAAGTAATTGTAAACATGTTTTAGCTCTACGTTTGGTTGTGTTTCCATCATTAGAAAGTAGAAACTATCCATCATCTTCCTGGAACAAACCGTAATGGAGATTTTGAAGAGATTCAAACCATAACAATACTTCTTAATTTTTCCCAAATCATCAATTCTATATATATTATTTTCCAGATAAACATCAGGTTTGATAGACTTTTTCAACTCAAGCAAATGACCTTTCCAATGGTCGTGCCCACGTCTTCTGCGATTTCGGTAGACGAGATTCATTACTTATACGTAGGCATGGTTGTATTAGGCGATAGTATATACGATCGCCTAAAATACCTATAATTTATGGTGATTAGGAGACTAACTTAAGAGAGTTGCGATTTGGCACCTGCATGTTATAACCAATGGAGAGTGGACACGTATGTAAAATTGATAGATTTTTAATTTATTTTTTATAAATTAATTAAATTTTTTTGAAAAAAAATCTTTTTCTGAAAATTATTTTAGTAAAATAAATTAGCCTAAATTAAAATTTAAAAATTTAAATTGATCTAAACTACCTTTTTATAGACTAAATTAGCCTAAATGAACTTTGTAAGGAAAATAAATTCGCCTAAATTAATATTTTTGAATAGACTAAAATAATTTTTTTCGAGAAGACAAAATTATACATATTTAAGTAATTTAGACGAGAGACTATTATATCCATTCCTGCGTATACGTGATAACTGAGAATTTATCAAATATAAAACTCGCATGAGATAATGTAGCTATAGTATATAGTCCCACTGTCACATCATTAATGCGTTGCTCTTCAGTAAATTACAAAATCTTTTTCTTCAAGAGAATACGGAATATTTATCAACAGAACAGTAAATCGATCGATGCGACTCCAGTGAATGGTTGGTGAGGTGCAGCTTGCCTTCAGGTTGGCCATGAATACAGCAACCTCAGATTTGAGCTTTGACTATGTGTTGGTTTGAATCTCCATAACCTCCATCCGTATGTATCCTTGTGTTTGTTTGAATCTCACGATCTGATGGAGAATTTCAATCTTGACACTGATCAGCGCATCTGTGCATGCAGTCTAAACACTGCCTAGTAAATAACAAATCTATCCAGAAATTTCTTTTCATTGGTTTTAGGGTACGATAATCGAGATAAATACAACCATTCTTCTTGTGGGAAGAAAAGTTGGAATCCTAATTGCACTTCAAATCAACTCCGTACTCATTCGCTCACTCCAAAGTTCGAGTTCTTGGTTGAATGTGGTTCGGGCTGGACCTCACTAATCGTAGCTACGAGTGCACAATGAAACAATGGCCATGATAATAAATGATGGACTTCGCAAAGAGGGTAAAATGAAATGTACGATCCAAAGGATCTTGTGTCTCGCTTGAGTTGGACCGGTATTTCCGAGGTGTGCATTGGCTTTACGTCTAACCGCCTCCGTCACCAACCCGGGCCCGCGGGAATTCATGCCCGCAACCCGAACCCTCGCTCGCTCCCTCACAATCGCCGGCGCGCTCATTTCAGGTTCGTCATTCGAGCATCTCAGAATCAGCAGAAAGATGTGAGTTCGGACCCCGTGATTGCTCGACTGACTATCGGGGGGCTGGGTTTCATGATTTTCACAGTAGGACGACGGGTCGCTCATGACCTCGATTATAGTTTGCTCCACGTCGCAGCATCAGCAGCAGCAGCAGGTTTGAATGATGTAAGCGAGACAAAAGTTCCCTCCGGGCTCCACTTCCTTTCCGTCTAATATAATAATCGTGCTGGGTTGTCTGCTGCAACGGTTTCTCCTAATCTTCTCTGTCAATGTACAAGGTCGCTGCCTCTGTAGCTTCTTGAAGTACGTACTCGAGTACGTATCTTGTGTGCAATGTGTCCGGGCGTCGTTTCTTGCGGCCGTGTTTCTCAAGGCAGTCGGTCTTCTGCACACAGTCCGTCAAGGATCTTGAAAATGGAGTTTCGGTTCGTGAAATGTGACAATGGAATAAGCATAATCCAGACCATGAGCTTCTTATAACGTTTGTTACAAGATGGTAGCTGCGTGCGTTTGCGTACACAAGAAGTAGTGTAGGTTTACAGGTAAGTTTGCGCATGCGATGGATTGACACAGTTTTCCTCGTTTGACCCAGAGAATTGTAATTCGGTATGAAGGCAGCGCTTTTTGGATTTATGGATAGTTTAGGATACTCTTATGTGCTCAGTTGTGAGTGATAGTCTATAGACGGCACACCATGGGCCGTAAATCCGCCGTGGAGACGAAGTGCTTCGATATTGCAAACTTTATGCAAAATGACTCCGGTGTCACCAAGGCTCTGAGCAAAAGGGGCTTGCAAGTGAAATCCGTCTCTGCATCAAGTAAAATCACGTCTAATCTTCGTTCCGACAAAGTCGTGAGGAGGAGTGACTATAAACATGATCTTCCTATTCTCAACATGGCCAAGGTCCGACGGCACATTACCGAGCAGCAGACGGAGTTAGCTGGTAACAATGAAAACGGGCTTGGGAAAGAAGTAGACTTGAAGTCCGTGGGCATCAGCCATCCATTGTCCACAAGATTCGCAACAGTAGATGGAAGAGAGAGGAGAATTTTGGCCTCGACTTCGACCTCGGACAAGATATCAGCGGCTGGATCCCTTAGTGGTGTTGGTTATGGGTGGAACGGAAGTACGGAGAGTGCTGAAGTCACCAGGACCAGAGGAGAAATGAAGAACGAAAACGTGTCAGTCCCGAGTAACAGAAATGCTTACAGCAGAGAAAGGCACGTGAAAAGATCTCCGAGTGGTATCCAGTCTAGTCTGTCAGCTCATTTGCCAGTTCCTTCTGGGGAAACTCCAAGTATTCGGAGGCACAGAAGCGAAAACGCAAGTAGGGATGGGTCTGTCACCTACAGGACTAACTACAGCCAACATGCAGGCAGGACGAATGATGCTGCAAATTGTGTGGATCTGCAGGGTGGGACGCTGTCTGTGTTGGACAGAGTAGCTTCAGAAGTTATCAAACAAGACTTTGGAGCAAGGGACATAAAGAAATCTTACCATCTGAACTCTGGAACCACATCCAGGGACTCCATTATAACCGTGCCCGTTGCGACGAAATCAAACCTCGGTTCCTCCAGGAAGGTTGCCACTAGTCATGGGTGTAGGGCATCAAAACTTCTCAGTAGCGTGGATCGATCGCAGCTGGAGGATCTACAGGCTCGCTACAGGCTTAGGACAGTGAAGCAAATTCATACCGATCAACCAACCACAGAAATATGCCCCAGGTAACGAAGTACTAGTGACCTCAAAAAAAGCCATACCTTGGAGTCTCAAAAGACAAGTTATATGAAATTTCAACTAAACATTACTAAATATAGCCTTATATTAGAAGCTTCCACTTTCTTCATATTTTCTCTAAATGTGGGCCCTTATATTAGGCATGCAGGAACTTTTAAAAGTTTTGGTCTTGACACATTCATTCGTCTGCTGCCGTCCAGAGCCGAAGAGGAAACAAACATTGAAATGACAAATGCGGCTGAGTTGAACGCCCCTGTAAAACATGAATTATGCGATGCACACGTACCAAGTGCTAAAGCCAGGGCACCAAAACTAAATCTCAGTGGCTGTCATAATTCAGTTCCTATAGGTACCCCTTCCATCATACCTTGCGCCTGTTCTTCGGTGGTACGACTCCATGTGGTTTGTCAAGGCAGAATACCTGGCTGAATCAGCTGTCGAACCTTGTTATCTTATTCCAGTGACACAATGTTGGGTGTTTATCTTCGAGTCTAAAGTTGCTATTTATTTTCGCAATTGCGGGTATCGCTCCGAAGGAAGAAATAAAATGTTAATAGGTAATAATAGATTAAGTAATCTAAGCAGACTAGCGCTCTTGCAGGTTTTGGTGGAAATCCTGTGGAGAATATACAGACTTGTCGGACATCTAGAACGGTAGGTAACCATCAGCATTCGTGCCTCCTCTCCCTCCTCGATAACCTTAACCTTGACAAAAAGGTCGTGATTCCGACACAATTGCTGGGAAATTTTTTTCACAAAGTATCGTACAATTGATGAAAGTCATTTCTGAGCTCAACACACGGAATTTTTTGCTGGGTGCAGGCCGCTAATGTAGGCAGTCCGCGCCTGGCATTAACAGACAGGGGAGCTTCAAGGAAGAATTCATTTTCGTCGCCTCATCGTAAGCATGAAGTAAGAATTTCAGAATTTTGTTCTTTCATAGTTAAATGAATTGTTGTGTTGTCCTTTATATTCACGAACCGGTAAGCTAACAAGCTATCAAATTTGTTTCACACGAAGACGAGGAAGGTTTGCTATCGCAGCCAGCGGAGAAAACTGAATACAGCATCGACTTGATAGAAATTGCTGTAACAGATAGGAAATGGCCGCGTGTGGATTGATTGCCTGAATGAAACGTTGTTCGGAGTTTGCAGAAAACAGATGCGCCTATGATCAATACTTCTTGTACACCCGCGTCTCCAGATAGTAAGCCCTACCAAGAGTACCTTGTGCATTATAATAATAGTATGGAAGTGACCGCGCTTTCAAGAGGGAATCTCTGTATAGTCTCCTCATCCATATCTGACATATTGACGAGATATATCAGTTAGAGCGTCCGGTTGTGTTACATTTCGGCTAATTTACTTATATTGACGTAGAGGAATTTCAGATCTCCTTTTAAATGAAAGAATCCGTCTCATCTTCTCATCTGTAGCCTTCGTAATCGTCTTGTGAGGATAAGAGAATTTTAGCAGCCGTGTGTACGTTTTTGGCCTTCTGTATCATGAGAGAACTATATCTTTTGTTGTATAGAACCTTTCATAGGGACTTTTTCTCAATGTTCACTCCACCTGCTTTTGTTCTGGATTTGGTAGGTTGGTCATGAAAAATGCCTAGCGGGTAGCAATTGTGAAGAAGAAATCAAACCAAAGAATATGGCAAAATGGAAGAATGAAATAAAAATCTGTAGTCATGGAGGCATGAAGACGTCAGACTTCTACACATCTGGTCTCTCCTGTTGGCCATGCAGTGCTTTCTTTTCTGTTACAACATACATGGATAATAATGCCGTCTCCTCCACAGACACCTGAATACTTCCTTTACAGAACAGTTCTTCATGTCCACTCACTTCTATTCGTAATAAATTGCCTGCATTTAAACTTTTCCCACTCTTAAGGGGTAGCATGAGCATTCTGAATCTGCTCTGCTGAGCAAGGATGTCTCCTTGTTTAGCTACAGTTTAGGTACAGGTTTCTATTCTTAGGTGTTTTAAAGTTCTGAGCCTTCAGGGTTGGGGACTATCGTTGTGCTTGCAAATATTTGAATAGAGTATCTCGGCCTTCTAGAGGGCCAGAAGACCTCTAGAAGGCCGAGATACTCTAGAAGGCCGAGACAGAAGTTGGGCCAAGACTTGATAAATCTACAGCTTCAGCAATCTTGATAAAACATACGATGTCTAGAGAGATTGTGAAGAGCGCCAAAATATTGCTTTGTACGCCCAAAAGTCAAACATCTTAAGTATCTTCAAGAGACAAGGAGACGGTATATTATTATCATTATCGGACTTTGTAATGTTTAGAAGAAACACTCTCTGTTCCGTCCCAAATGTCGATCGATCCGCTTGTGACTTTAATACTATAATATTGTGCAGTGTATTCAAAAACTGGCCAAATTCCAAGTTTAGCACTGACTATAAATAAGTACTTCAGATTATCAAAATCTTAAAAGAGCAGACTTTGTTTCCGGTGACTGTTAAGAGTCTTTTGATATTTAAATTTCAGCAATCAATTATCTACTGAAAGATTTAAGGATTAGAAAAGTTGACTTGACGAGTTTCTGGAATGTAAGCAAAGCGGGACCAATTAGAGCAGAGTCGTTTTGGATGCTGATCAAGCAACAAGATCATGGCGAGAAAATAATTCTTTTTGCATATATGATATAAGAAAGAACTTTGTTTTACAGTTTTGGGCACGCGAGGGTTTTTGAAGCCAGCTTGTTTCTGATTTAAGTTTGATTCCAGATATTCAGATTGTTCATTCGCAGCTCAACATTCCAACTAGTGTTCAATTTCTTTGAGATGCACTCTGTATGACCTTCACTTGACGAGTCATAATTGAACCAGTGTTATCGCTTCGATGAACATCCCTATTTCGTAGATGTCGTTTAAACTGGTGCATTGAGAACAACGAAGATGTTAGCTGCGAGCCCCATGGCGACACAATTGTGAACATAAAGGCTGATCACTTGACGCGTGAACTTTTGTTTGTGATCCATAGATTTCTATCATGGATAATTAACTTTGCTGTGGTGATTTTCAAACATAACCTGGCTAACGCAGGCCAGTGTGGCATTGTGTGGTTTCAGTTGTCTTAAGGCAGTGCGGATGTCATCTGACGGAATATGAACAAAGCGAAATCCTTCCATATTCTGAGATTTACTATTTGGGCCTTAATGCCAACAAAATTCAGGCTACAAGTGTTCCAGGCGCTTGCAATCATGGTGAGTCATGAAAATTCTTTAGTGCATTTACAAATGAAAATCAAATTCTCTGGCCTTCAATTTTGACATTGCAATTCCCACGAGAAGGTAAGAATTTGCTAGGCTATTGCAGTCTGATAACCTACGGTGCTCAACCTTGTTACACCTGGATCTACTGAATACGACTACAACTTATTTAGCTACAGACGGGTGCGATATCTAGATCCCCACTGTGATGCAAGGATTGCATAAAATGAACTTGCAAAGATGTCTAATATCTCTGAGTGATAATCTAGGCAGGGGTTTTCCCTGAGTGTATGTTTTTTTGAGACTGCTGAACTCAATTTTAGTGCTCCATCGCATCGGATTCCATATCTGTACGTAACAAGATGGTGATGCAGGTTTCGACGATGAGAGGGGCGATTATAATGTGGTCGAGCAAGATCACCTTGCTTACCGCTACGAGGTGCTTGGCATTCTGGGAAAAGGAAGTTTCGGTGAGGTCTTGAAGTGCATGGACCACAAGCATAAAGCTTTGAGGGCCGTGAAAATGATTCGTAACAAGCGCAGGTTCCACCAGCAAGCTTTGGTGGAGGTTAAAATTCTCGAGAATTTGCGGCAAAAGGTTAGTGAAAATGTTGTAAACTCTGATGAACGAGCTTCCCTTTGAGCTGAACTGATCTATGACAAGCCGCCCACACAAGTAATTTTAGTTGATAAAAATAGACTTCTGAAGTCGCATTAAAATATGGGTATACTTTCATCAAGGTGTTTCAATTTTCCCTCATGCTATACTAGAATTTTAAACATCCACGTGGATTTCGATGATATCTCATCTGATCAGCAAAAACTCAAGCTCTCAAAATAATTCAACTACTTTGACAGCAATTTTGTAATCGCTGTGCAATTCTGTGCGGCAAGTGTGTAAATATGTTAGTTCTGTTCATTAAACCTTGATTATCATTCTCTCTGTTGTTTCAATATGTTAGAATGCTATTCATTCATTCGCACGAAGGAAGATGACAACGACATTTTGGTTGGAAAGTGAATACAGGCACAGGACGAGCCCTCGAACTTCAACATTGTTACTATCTATGAAAGTTTTTACTTTCGTGGACACTTATGCATAGCCTTTGCACTTCATGACATAAGCTTGTATGAGCTAATCAAACGCAATAACTTTCAAGGAATAAGCTTAATCGTCATCAAAAGTTTTGCAAGCCAGCTCTTGGCTACTCTGCGATTCCTACGCAAGTTGCACGTGATACATTGTGACCTGAAGCCAGAAAACATCTTGCTGCAACATCCAGCGATGTCCAAAATTAAAGTGATTGATTTCGGATCCAGCTGCTTTTGCAACGAAAGAAGTACGTATGGGCAACGTATAAATAATGCCATGATGCAGAAAGTCTATTTCATAGATGGCCAGATTCTTGGATTCTTAACTCAAGCGGCAAGATATATACTACTATAGACTGTCATGCAAGTAATGTAATGTGCTTTGGATCAGTTTAATTAAGAGATTCATGTTCCGCTGTCAGTGAAGTTGCCAACAGTGTTAACAGAATCATGGTGAGAAATTGCAGCCTTGTCCTACAGCTAACAAGTGACTTGTTGCAGTTTACACATACATACAGAGCAGGTTTTATCGGTCGCCTGAGGTTATTCTTGGTGAGAACATGCTTTTTCTTAGTTTGTTCATTGAAATTTTTGTTCTCATGTTAAGCTGCTTGCTAAATCTGGAAGTCAGGTTTTAACTCCTAAGAAAAGATAATCTGATGGGAGAACAGACCTTCAGTTTACAGTATTTGGCTTTGATTAAAAAGGTATTATTAGCACCGTAATTCTGCTCGAAGTCGCCATAAGTGCTAATAAGTTGTTTGTAATGCACGAGGTTCTGCAGGTCTTTCTTACGACATGATGATTGACATATGGAGTTTAGGATGCATTCTTGCAGAGCTATTCACAGGTAACAGAGGACCTCACTTCTAACATGTACAGACACATATCGCTGAGGAAAGCTCAGAAAAATAAAACAGGTTAATCTGTAGGGTGGGATCTATTAAACTTAGCCAGAATTGGGTATATTCAGGCCAAAAAGTTGATATTGCAGTATGTCAGCTCATGAGCCTTGTAGATATTCCCCTTGGCTGCTTATGTGGTGGTATGGCTGAAATAAAGTCTGAAATGCTGGAGAAATTGGAGCAGTGGCATCAAAAGTCTGACTGCTGAATCTATTGCAGGGTATCCCTTGTTTCCGGGAGAGAATGAGGTGGAGCAGTTGGCGTGCATGATGGAAATTTTGGGATTGCCTCCTGCCGCAGTCGTCGAACAGGCAACAAGAAAGAAAATGTTTTTTGGTACAATCATTCAAACCAACCGGCCATAATTTATTTTGGGTGTAACCATGTACTTATATTCCCAACTTCTGTGCTCATTGATTGGTGAGACCTTTTACCGTACCCATATCACCACTACCTGCTCTGCACTAAATAACTTTAATGCCTTCTGATTGACCAGATAGCAAAAACAATCCAAGGATTGTACCAAACTCGAGGGGCAAAAAACACTATCCTGGAACAAAGGATTTAGCTACGGCTATTGGTTGCAACGATCCCCATTTTGTGAGTTTTTTGGAAGGCTGCCTACGGTGGGATAAGAACCAGCGATTGACTCCTGAACAGCTGATGCAGCATCCATGGATGGTTGGGGTAAGGCAGCTTTGGCCTCTTTACAATATCACTCGTCTAGTACAGTAAAACAATTCAGAGAAGGAAAATAACATTTTCTTATGTAGAGTCGGACCGTTGAGAGTCGGTCTAGGAACAGAGCCTTGACATCCTACGATTGCATGGTGGTCACGTCAGTAGAAAAAAGCGTAAGGAGCCTAGCAAAAGTTCACAAAGTATGATAATATCCTTGCGTATCAATTACGATCTACTCTACTTTGAATACTCTTCAAAATGATCATCTTGCAACCTGAGGCTTTTATGTCATGCCGGCGTGTCCCTACACGGTGGCATGATAAGGAACATGCTGCAATGTTCATTGTATTATACGACCGTACCTTGTTTTAACTGATTTTTTAGCTGCACTTGATCACATGCAGCCCGCATCAACTCTTACTCCCCGGAGATCTCCTTTGCGGCCTTCAAATCAGGACACCACGAAGAGAAGGTAATTTGTGCTGCTTTCCAGATTTATGCTTCATGAAACTCTGACTCCTCTTCTCATTATGTAGGTATGTAAATGGTTCTAGTTCAAGCTCAGTAGTTGGCCACTTCTCAGACGCAGCTCAGTAGTGGACAATATGTTCGATCCTAGGATCCCCTCGGAAGCTCAAGTCTGGGATTGGAAGGTGGACATCCTCATGGTGTTTTCCCTGTGTAAATGCAGATCCTTGAAAAGTTCAGACACTCCACACAGATCATTTAAACAATCAAAGCAGAATAACCCTGCAGTGGGGAAGCCACAGATTAGTAAATTGGGCTCGTATCCAGCAATGAAGATCTTTCAAGGGCAAGATTTCACATCTCTATTGCCACCTATAGGAGAGGAAACATCTAAAGATTACCAAGAGAAGAAAAAGTTAGTATGAGATGAAAGATTACCAGTCGCTATAACTCGGGGAACGAAGGACTCTTAACGTCATGAAGTCAAGTTCTTCAGGCGAAACGAAGGGCCAAGAAACTTTGGCAATTCGTTCTCGTGCGAGGAGGAAAACTGGAATGGATCTTTCGCTGGTGGCGACTGCACACAGGAACGATTTTGCAAGAAGACTATTCCTACTCCCCCCTGCCGATGTCATTTATTCCTTACCATGAAGGCCTCCTTTCACTACATATGCGAGTGGAGCAAGGTCCTTCACTGACACTGCGGGTGCGGATGCTCCTCATCTGAAACAGCTCACAAGCTAAATACCATCCCAAGAGATTGCTTTCGTAACGAGAAAAAAAAAACTTAATGAAAGTTCCAGTGGACTCCACTTCCTGCTGAGATTGAAGTGGTTCCAGATACGAGCCTAAGGCTTCTTCTCACATCTCTCTGTGCAGGTCCTCAGCACATATACAGCTCAAAGCAAAGCAGATGGAGTAAGAAAATAATTCCTCTCCAGCAGGTGACATATCTGTTTCTCCCAGCCTGCGATGAAGTAGCACCATCCTCTACGATATTGTGTCATCCGACAAAAGTTGGCTCTGGCCTCGGCTTCTACATGCAGCCGTCTTGTGTTCTACGTTTGAAATGGTGCACGAGTTTGTGGTCTCAAAGTGGAGAAGGAAACAAACGACCGACCTCGCTATTGATGTCAAGGACCCCGCTCAGATACTGGGCGTTTGTGTAAGAGTTTTGTTTCACACGAATCAATTTTGTGGACGCATGATTCTTACCAGAGGGGACTTGAAAGCTCCGAATGTTGATATGTCCAGCTCACAAGTTTATGACTCAAGATCAAAACAATCTGATGTAGGCGCTGTGATTTTAGCTAAACATATGGCTCTTAATGTTGCGTCGATCACGGTTGCTTCTTGATATCTTATCATGCACCTGCTCGCCAGAAGGCCTTCTTCTAAGCCTTTGCTGGCATCTGGGATCTCCTTTTAATGTTGAGAGTTTGCCTACGTCGAGAGCGAATATCCAGTTTTCCAGTTCGTGCGTGTCATGAGTTTTTATTTATTTTAACGTGGATGGAATGCACCAACTTTATGGGAAGCTCCTACTATTTCCCTACCTCCGCGAGATTTACCAGGTTCATATGAAGCTGGTGACTCACATCACAACCCAGAAGAGTCTGTACTATGTACTTTGAGGAGAATTGGCTCCGTCTTGCCATACCTTTTTTCTGGCTGACTGCAGTTTCGAACTGATGGTTTGTCTTGTAAAATAAAGTGGAATCTGATTGATAGCCATTTATTGTGATTTTTAATCATCTACAACAACTCTCCCAAGTGTCTTCTGATTTGATCTTGCAACAATGAACAAATGATGTGATCATTGCCATGATAATTTTTGAATTTCATAATTTTAGTCAAACATAGAGCAGAAAAACATAATCTTGAAGTCAATAGTTTTCATTTTTGGGTTGATTACAGAATTTTAATGCATGTTATATAATTATACAGCAATTTTTGAGGTTCACATTGATTCTCTTTCACTCCATTTGTGGTTATGTAAAACTTTTAATGTGTACCAAAAAAATCTTGCCCTACCGAAGGTGGGAAGCTCTTTACCAAGGGAGAGTGAAAGTTATTTGGTTAATTACATAAACGTGGTTTGTATATTATCGATTACGTAAAAGAATGTCATTCATACAACAATACATGGAATAAGAGAGTATATATATATATATATATGATCAGTCAACTTAGTAAGATAGGTTTTTGTCCAACTCTATTTTCTGTTTGGTGACAACTCAAACAGAAAATAGAGTTGGACAAAAACCTATCTTACTAAGTTGGCTGATCATATACATAAGTAAGTTACAAATGATATATGTAAAACAATCTATTCACACATACTAAAGTAGATTACACAATATCATCAAGAAAGTTATACCCATGGCATCTATTATTGTTTTGTTTATCTGATATGTAAACATCCATTGTTATATTAAGAAACAATATACACAGGCCTCTCTATTCTAGGACAATGTCCTATTTGTCCTATCATTGCTAAAACAGGACATGAGATGGTCCTTACAATAGGACACTCTCATTAACCGGCCCAGAGAAAAGAAGTGCTTTCTTTATGAGATCGCCAAAAACAATCCTATTGATGTTTCACCACATTTCGAAGTGCACTATACTGCTTGACGTACATGATGCCTTCTAGAGCAAAGTCTGTTTTAGAGGAACAATATGAGTTGCGATGGTAGCACATCAGACGGACAACCACCAATACCGACAACAACTTATGCAATAATGATCCGATCATAATTTATATCAATATTTTATACCTTTTTGAAAAAAAATTATGATAATTTTTTCACTCAAATTTAATCATTTAGTGGCAATTTTTTAAAATTTTGAATAAAATTACTTAAACAACAATTTTTTAATATATATTAGAAAATAAATAAAATATAATTCTAGCATTTTTTGAAGTTCAATTATTATTGTAATCATATATATATTTATATAAATTTTTTTATCTATGTACGACCCAATAATCAAGATCAATCAACCTGCACGACTGTCACAATACCAAGATAATGTGATTCATGATGCACAAGTCAAGTCCAAGGGCAAAAGTAGAAACTTCACTAAAGCACAAATGTATACACGACCTCCATAGCCAAGCTCTCCTCCTTCATGCTCACTCTCAAAGTGCAACTCTAAATTTTGCGTAGTGAATTAATAATTCTCTCTTATATACAGGAAGAAATAATATGCACATCTTAACTAAACTAACCATGGTTATCGCTTAATGGAGTTAATCAAAGATAGAGTTAACTTAACAAACTTCCCCTTGAAATCTTGGAGAGATCTGAAAATCTGTGGGAAGTTGTAGAAGGTAAAGCTAAATCACCCTTTTACTCTATAGCCAAGAATTAACTAGAACTAAGTTGTAGCCGGCAAAATCCGGATGAAGAATATATGTACAAAAGTTAGTGGAAAAACCATCTTTATGAAAAATTTGCAACTTGCACAATGCTTGGAAAAACTTTCCAAAGAAATCAATTTGGTTACTCCGTCGTCACGGTTCAACTTACCATCAATTTTCATGGGCTTAAGCGCACTATTAGACATCGCTTGTCTGATATAATGATATCGGATGTTAATATGCTTTGCCCTATCATTCATCACATTGTTTGATGCGAGAAGAAGTGCACTCCGACTGTTACAGTAAAGATTCACATCACTGTGTGACAGTCTCATCTTAGTGGCCAACTTGTTCTACCATATAGTATCCTTTGTGACTTCTGTTGCCACAACGTATTTAACTTTTATGGACGACTGAGAAATGCATTCTTGAAGTGTAGATCTCCAACTTATGCATCCATCAACAATAGAAAAAACATATCTAGTTGTTAATCTCCACTTATCCAAATCTTCTCCATAATCAACATCAAGAGTGAACTTGGATAGTTTGATCGTGCTTCAAACAATAATTTGGTATAAAAAAATCCTTGATATACCATATTATTCACTTCATAGCTTCCCAATGCTCTTGTCATGGATTTGACATGTACATATTTTACTTCCCAACTGCATATTCTATATCAGGTCTAGTGTGTACCATTAGATACATAATGTTGCTAACTACACTTTCATAAGTAATAGAAGACATCAATACTTTTGCACTTGCATCCATTGGACATATAGCTGACGAAAGCTTAAAGTGTGCAGCTAATGGAGTACTTACAACTTTATCATTTGACATGTTAAACCTAGCAAGTACTTTCTTTACATACCACGTCTGTATCAACCAAAGTTTGCTTGATGTTCTTTTCCTCTAGATTTTCATGTCTAAAATACGCTTAGCAAAACCTAAATCTTTAATATTAAATTCAAAACTGAGCTAGACTTTGAGTTTAATAACCTCAGACCTATCTTTAGCGGCAATAAGCATGTCATCTACATACAACACGAGTGATATGAAGTCAAAACTTGTGTTGCTAACACGCTTCATGCACACACAAGGGTCATATGCATTTTGTATGAAGTATGCGTATGCATGCTTAGTATGCATGAACTCATAAAAACGTTTGTTCCATTATTGGAAATTTTGCTCAGGTCCAAACAAGGATTGAAGCAACCGAAAATCTAAATGTTTTTTTCTTCTCTTTTAAAAATCCTCCGATTGTCTCATGTAAATCACTTCATCCAACACTTCATGCAAAAAGGCTATAACAACATCTATCTAGTCAAAAAATAGACCAAATAATATGACAAGTGCACACAACAAACATATTGTTGAAAACTTAGCAACTAGTGAGAAAATCTTGGTGTAGTCGATGTCTTTTTATTGTTAAAAGTCCTTGACCATCAATCTTGCCCTGAAATTTTCTCATCTGCATCAGATGTATCATCCTTCATCATGTAGATCCACTTGCAATTTATAGCTCATACCTCATTGGACAACTCCACAAGTTTTCAAGTCTGATTGTCATGAGGTGACATCATTTTCTTTCGCATTGCTGCATCTCAATCAAACTTCTCCGTGACAGATTGAGATTTAATATAAGAGTGCACACTCCCATCCTCCGTGATCAATGCTTCTCCTCAGTCATTCACAAGTAAATCCCCATCTCTAATAGCCTAATTAGTAGTAAATCAAGTACCATATTTTTGGAGAGCACAAAGAACATGTGTTGGTCTTGAAGTTAAAGACTTTGGTTGATTACTATGTGCTGGTTTAGGTAGTGGCTCACTAGCAATGCGTTACTCCTCATGGACTTGTTTAAGAGCAAAATTTTATTCTTTTGCCTCTCTCCTTACTTGTGGAGCACCTTCTTGCTGTCCATCTTGAGACATTTCATGAAAAATCCCCCCCCCCCTCACTGATGTTTTGGAAAGATAACTGACATTTGTTAATGGCAAGATCAACAATCTTCTCCTTTGTTGATTATCTAGATTCATTGAAAGAAACATCTTTACTAATAACAATTTTACAACCTACAAGGTTCCAAAACCGGTATCTTTTGATATTACAATGATAATCAAGAAAAATACATTTGGTAGCCATGGAATCGAGCTTAGTTTTTGATTTATGAGAAATACGTTCATAAGCATTACAACAAAAATTCTAAGATAAAAGTAATCAGCATTTTGTTTATGCCACCTTTTAAACAAAGTTTTGTAACTTGTTGCATTATAAGGAGACATGTATACCAAATAAGCTGCAATATTGATGACTGCATCACAAAAAATCTGTGGTAAACCAGCATGACATAACACACTCTGTGATCTATCAGATTGAGCCTCTTTGACACGTCGTTTTGCTGTGAATATAAAAATTAGTGAAGTGGCGGATAACTTCCTTGTTTTCACAAAACACGCCAAACTCATGGAACACGTGCTCCCGCTGCTATTTGATTGCAAGAACTTCATTTTTTTCTCTTGTTTGAGTCTCAACTTGGGCTTTTCATTTCTTTAAAGTGACAAAAACATCAAACATGGGTGAAAGAAAGTAGATCCACACATATCTTGAGTAGTCATCAATAAACGTAAGATAAAACTTCTTTCCAGAATATGAGGCAATAGGGAAAGAGCCCCACACATCAAAGTGAACATACGCCAGAATTGTCTTGTAATTATGGACGCAATTTCTAAAAGCACGTTGCGTGTGCTTTTCAAATAACACAATACCTAAAGCTAGGTTATAAATTTTGTTTGTGTAAAATGTTCATACCTTTTTCACTCATGTGGCCAAGACCAACTTGCCACAATCTAGTCTCATATTTCAATGGTGTCATAGCATTGGCCTCACCAAGAATTATAAATCTCTTCAAGATGTATAAATTCTTATGTTATGAGCTTTCATGATCACGTTGGAATCTCTCTCAATTGTGAAAAGTTCATGAACATTTTTCTAATAAAAACCTTCATGTCAATCTTTATGAGTGAAATAAAATTCTAATGCATACTGGAAATATGCCAAATATTTCTAAATTGTAGTATTTTTCTATCAAACATTTGAATCTGAATGTATCCCATAATATCAATTTTACTCGTGATCATTTCCTATTAAGAATGAATCTTGTGGTAACCCACTTTTTGGTTTTGTGCGGAATTTAAACATTTTTGGAAAACAGTACCGCAGCAGCAACTGTAAATAGTAATCGGGACACTAAAATAGAGTAAAAATGGATGATCGCGGGTCACGGAGAATCATCGAGTTGGGCGCAATGTCGGGGACAGGTGCCTTGGCCTGAACGGACGGTTCCTACTGAGGAAGAGCGC